GAGCGCGGTGACCTCTAAGGGGAAGCTTTGTGACTTAAACTCTTTTGCTACTTTTTGCGAGAGGCCTAATTACTCCTTAACGAGGGCGGCGAATGGGCACGCACTGAAATCCGCGGCTCGTGTCTGCCCTGTGGTGGTGGCAATCGGTGTTTTCCTTATTTGTGCTGATACACATGGGGCTAAGGGTGCTTTTCCAGTTGTTTGACGCATCGGTGAGGAAAGAAACAGCGTGTTCTTTTAAAGCCCTCCTGGCTTCAGCTGTGTCTGTAAGTAAGGCTTGTAGTTACAAGCAGTTGGCTCATGACCTTACTTACAGAATAGCGGAAAGACGGTGGACCATTACAGCGAGTAACTCGTCAAAGGTGTGAGTGAAAAACATATGCTAGTATATTCTGGGCACTGCTTAAACTACCCTAATGTAAACTGCTGTGACTGTAGGCGTTAGCTATAGATGTCGCCTACTTGGAGTTCAAGAGTCGCACTTTCATTTCCGGTCTTCAATTCTTTTAAGTATTTGAACTCTACAGTTTGGTATGTTTTATTAGAGAAATGTTCTCTTCTTTCTTTAGAGAACACGATGTTCAAAAAGAAAAAAAAAAAAAGAGGAGGGGGGTCTCCTTTTTTTTTTAATGCATTATTAGTCATCTTGAGGGGGAAAAGTACATCGGCGTTAATAATTTGTCTTTGCAAAACAAAATCACAAGTCAGACTGCAGAATTTAAAATTGTTGAAATCACTTTCACAAGCTGAACTCTTACAGATGCTGATGAGAAATCTAAGCAAAAGCTGGTGCAATTGGTAACTTTCTGAATTATTTATAGGATGTTGTTTGGTTTTGTTTGTTAGTAGTCGTAACTGAAAGTTCACGTTCAGTCTATTTCCAGTGAAAGCTGTGATTTTGGAGGCTTTCAATAAAGAACTGAAGCAGCTGGTACAGTTTTTTTAACAGGTTGTGTCCTACAGTGTTATAGGTTCTGCTTTCTAGAGAACACCGGAAAGCTGGTGGTCACAGTCTCTTCTGTCAGCAGCTGTTCTTTGGGAGCATGTTGGGTTTCACCAAAATATTTCGATTAGTTTCACAAGCATGTATAAACAACACGGGCAGTGTGAGCAGGCCTGGTAACTCCTTCCCACACTGGTACTTATCTCCTTCAGTTGCTCTGGTAAAACTTTTACTGAGTTGTATGATGAGACAGATCAGGGAAGTGATCCAAGTTAAAAATAAGGTTTAAAAAATGGTTTTTAATTTGGATCATCTCCCTGATGTGGTTCATTGCACGGACATGTAACTGGACTAGCATAACTGGGAGGGAGAGGAGGAAAATGACAGTGGGTTTGTTCCTTGAGAAGTTGTGAAATACTTTTTTAAGATAAGACAGGTTGTTTAGTGGTAATTCAGTTTGTATGCCTTGTGGCCTGCAAGGGATGGAAGAGTTCTGGTTTTCTTGGAAAACTCAAATTCCCAAAGCTGCCTGTCACTTTTGAGAGATAAGCTGCTTTATTCTTAAATATTTGCAGTTCATAATTGTAGGAGATGCTCTTCTTAGTGCAGTTTAGTATTTTTATAACGTGCACTGTATATGCAGTTTGAAGGAGGGGGAGGCTTAGTTGTATCTCCAAAAGGAATTTGGCTGCACTTGTCTCAGGAAGAAAAATGAAACCACTAACCAAAACACACTTAGTAGCAAAATGTATTCAACCCAGTGAACAAAGCAACTGGATCCTCTCAGCTGCAGTCATGCTAGCACAGTCGAAAGTGAGTGTTCACCAGGGAACTAACTCTTTCTCACTGTACTTACTGATCTTCAGTTACTCGGGAGCTAATTAAAGTGGTGGTTTGATGAAATGGACTGTAAGGGGACAAAATGGGCTGAAGTATTTCCTGATGAACTCATCAGGAAGTGGTGAGTTGTTGCTGACAGCTGGGTATGCTCTGAAGCAAACTACAAAGGTAATGGCCTTAAACCACTGTTCTCCATTTTTTTTTTTTAGCCTGGTTTTGTCGTGTGCCCTTGTTTCAGGGCCTTACATGAGCACATGGTGCTAGCTGTTCTGAGGGAGATTTCCCATGAACTAGCCTGTGGGTTAATCACTCCCCTTTTGATGGGGGGCGACAGATACTAGAGCCAGAACCAGTTTGTTACAGTTCCCGCGTTCCAGTCCATACCTTCTCGTTTCATGTACCTGGTCACAAGTTCCCCATTCTGTGTGCCACCTTCCAGCCTTTCTGAAAACCTTACAGTTTGAAACAGTGATCCAGAGAAGATTGGCATAATTCTTGTGTTTGTTTATAGAAGATGCTCTTTCGTTTAAGATGCTGTTCTGTTTTCAAAGTTAACCGCTTGTATGCAGCAGTGAAAGGAGAGATGGAGAACTGTTGCGTAAAGAGATTTTTCTTGCCATGCACGTGTATGCTTTTATTCACAGAAAAAAAGGACGCTTATTCATAATTGTGTCAGTGTTGGGAACGCTGAGGTTCCTTCCTTCATCAGCATTGTCTGGTGCTCAGAGGAGGTTGACAACTGTGAGTTAGTGCCTTTGTCAAACACACAGTCAGGACTTTTTGCCAAGTCCATGTTGCTGAGGTTACAACGCCAGCGGTCCCAGTCTACCTTGCATGTCGTGGGAGTTTTTCACGGGCTAGCAGCAGAGAAATATTTTAGCAGTGGGTTGAGCAGATGCTGAATGCTTGAATGTGCGTCTGTGTGGTGGGGTTTTTTGTAAGTGTTTGTGTTTTGGCAAGGAGGGATTTCAGGCTGGGGAAAACCCCCCAGTTGTTTCTTGTGTGTTTTGATCATGAGGCTTAGGAAGCAAAGGAATGAGTGCTGCCAGCACTGTGAAAGGTTGAAGTGAAGAGAATGATATACATAGATCTTAAGATCCACTGAGTTGTTGTATGGCAGAGGAAGAAATTGAAAGATCTTTTTAACCATGTGCCATGGAATATATGAGGTTTCCATTAATAGGCTTGATGTCATTTTATTCTTATATGCTAAATTATTTATAAGTATCTGTGAGGAGTTTGAAAGGGGCACAGTGACTTGGCCTGACTCAATTTATCAGATTTTATAAAACGAGTTTTAAAGCACGAAGGGCAATGAAGAACATGATGTCTATGCATACTTGTACTCTAGCTTGATGGAGAAATGCACGGATTAAGCTGCAGTCTGAAAGTGTGTCTTGTGCTCTTATGATCTTAGAATCAAGGTGAGGTTTCCTGGCAATTTATGTTGATCTGAATGAGGGCTGCTGCTGCTGCCTTACTCCCGCTCTGGTACCCGGCTCATGGGTCTGGAACTTGCTTGTAGCATTATTCCCTTTTGCTGACAAATGAACTTGGAGACTTCAAGTGGTTGCTTGCTTTTATTTAGACTTTACTAACTACATAAAAGTGCTTGTCAGTGTAGTAGCTCTGTAAAAGTTACGAAGTATGGATATGTACACACTATTTTAAAATATTCTTCTGATTTTATGTGTTTTATAATGTGGTTTATAGTACGTTTTTTGATGTAACTGCACTGTACAAGGGCTATTTCTAGATTATGTATTTGTAGATACTGCTTTTTATGCCATCAACATAACTATGTCAGCAAGACATAAGCATATATGTGCAGTGGGTTTGTGTTAAAGGCCTTGTAAAAGTAGAGTTATAGATAGGCTTAGTGGTAATGCAAATACAACTGTATCAGTTTCAACAGTCAAATTTCTCCAAACATTGCACTGACAAATTCTTAAATTAGGTTGATATTTGGTTCTGGTTTACCTTGTTTATTGAGCTAGGTGAATATATATGAACCCAGGCTTTCATAAATTACTTGAGAATACTTTTGTCACTAACATCTGTAAGATATGTCCCATAAATAGGTACTTTATTTGCATATTCTCATCTAATCCTAGTAGTGGCTGCATTCCTCTAGTTACGTCTTATCACAAATGAGGATAAAATGTATGAGATGAAATTGCTGAAAGCACAAACCACTAGTTGACAGAGTCTAACGTGAATTCAGTCAATATGGGCAAAAGCAGCAATGATATTGGACAGTAAGTCACTGAGTTGTATTAGGTGCTGCTCACTTTTTCGGATGAAGTTTAATACTCATCATCTAAGATGTATATTTTTAACATTTGAGAGCATGTGCTTCTGTTACTAGATTTGTACTAAGGCTTTGGTGTTTTCTGTAACCTCTAGCATCAGCATATAGCAGTAGTTCCTTATATTTTTAAAAAGACAAAGAGTGTTTGACAGGATGACAATATAATTCATGCTCAGAGCATAGTATGATACTGTGTGGAATTCTGCATTACTGTTTTGTCTTTAATAGCTGTAGTAATGTTCCCTTTAAAAGGTGTTAGTATGCCAATATCTAAAAGTAAATTAAAATATAGCCTTTGGGTAGTGTTGTACAAAACAGTTTAACTGAATGTTACTTTACTTAACATAGTATTTTCTGGCTTGGTATTGTTGAAGAGCGCAAACGAATGCCATTGTTTGTGGTTTATTTCAGCTCTGTCCAAAGTTCTTGCATACCAACTCTACCAGTCACACCTGGCCTTTCAGTGCAATTGCAGAACTTATAGGTAAGTGGATCAATAGTTTGCCTGAGAACTTGGTTGCAATAGTTTTTGCTTGTTGTAAAACTTTTCTCCCTTAAGATAGGGGAAGGAGTTGATCCTGTTGTTACCATTCGGCATCTTACAGCATCTTTTTTGGTACAGTCAGATTGACTTGTTTCTTCTGTAACAGCATACGTGCTACGTGACGTCAGTTGCAGGGGCCTTGCAGGATTTGCCATCTTCTTTTTACAGAGTTTATTAAGGATTGACAAATATAGAAGACTGGGATCAAGTGAATTCCTTCTCTTGCAGTCCTGCTGCTTTTCACGGTTCTGGGGCCCAGAGAGTAGTAAGGCTGAGCGCACACTCCAAAGATGTGTGTGCACGCTTGCATCCTGTACAGACACAGCTAGCCACGGATGGATTAGCACAGACAGGAGGACAGTAACTTTGCAAGAACCCACATAAACTCAAGCAATGCTTGAAACATGAACAGCACAAACAGCCTTATCCTATTCCTGCTTCTTGGGTAACCAGATTTAAAGTTCATTAGTAGTGCATACACTTACTCTCACTCACTTGCCACTCGTGCTTACCCATGTTTCTGGGTGTTTCACCAGGGCCTGGGAGTCCTTCCAGTACCTGTGTCCAGGGCTTTTTACCAGTCTCTGGCTTGGACCTTGGATCTCAACAGTTTCTGGTTTCTTCCAACTTGTTGGCTTGTCCAGCTTGAAGTTTGCTAGCAGGAGAAGACGTACAGGCACACACTGAGAGTAGAGAGCACCCTCATACAGGCAATAGTTAGAATTAGTGTTTTATAAGAATGTACAGCAGAGTGACGCAGAGTCCAATCATACCTGCATGCTGACCAGCAGCCAACTTGCATGCAATCAGCCCCAGTTATTCCCACCCGCCTTACACCATTCTTCTCCCATCCACTTTGTCCTTTACCTTTTCTTCAATGCTTCCTCAAAACATCCAATAGTAATTTTTGCACATTGTCACAATGCCCCTGAAACATCCTAATTTTATTCTGAGTTACCGAGTTTCTTGCTGAACGTCTTAAGGGTTAAAGTCGAGTGGTTCCTTTTGATGGTCCATCCATCAATGTCTTAAGAGTTCTGCTCTTTGTTATTGTCTCTGTCATCTGCTGTTAGCCAGGGCTTGTGCTATCTGTTTGATTTATTAGCTCCTGTTGATCATCTTGCCTTTGATTTTGAATAGCTATGAACTGGATATCTTCAGAGTTGCTTGTTTCCCGAATGATTAGCAGACTTTCTTTAACTGGTTCCTCAAAATAAAGGTGCGGTTTGGAAAGACTTGCTGAGCTTATCTAGCAGTTTGCTGATGCCTAAGGGAGCAACTCCTCTGGTTGAACATTCATTTGCTTCCTGTGCATGAGGATTTTTATTGCTAATCCAGAAAATTAGCATAACGAAAGAAGGCAGGAATTTTTCAGCTTGATAAGGCCAGAACTGTCACAAAGGAGGAAGCCAGAACCACATGGCTGCAGGCAGGGTCTGGCTGTTCCAAGAGGTGACAATCTATTGAGTCACTTCAGCTGTTTTATCACCACGTGCCATACCTGGCTGGAATTATGATAGATGTGCTGTGCAAGGCATGCAGTCTTGTCTTTTTCTTTTGCCTCTCGTTTGTCATATGTGTTGTTTTGAAAGCATGGTAGTAACATATTGGCTGTAAAGGCTTCTAGTTAGTTGTGTTGATTTAAATAACTTTTGTAATCTGAGAGAGCTGGTGAGACAAATCAGAAGACTCGTACAAAGTATAGTCTTAAAAGAATACTTTCAAACTTTCAGTTGTACTTGAAATGTCCTCTTTTGGTGAAGCTGAAATACATTTTATGAGCTTTTTCGCTGTGGGTGCAATTTGTACCTTATGCTTACAGAAAGTAAGCTACCAAGCTGTGATTCCTTTTTGTAGGCCGTAGTGTTGGCTTGAGCCCTCAGCTGAACCTGCAGAACAGGCAGTGAAGCAGGGGCACTGCCTGCTGCTGTGCTGTTACATCCTTCTCCTCCTCCTCCTCCTCTGTGTGCTTTCCCCCCTCACAAATTCCATGAATAGCACAGTGCTGGGAAAGGGGGGAAAAGAGTTGTGAGAAAGTGGTGTTAGGGCAGGTGAGATTTAAACTAGCTTTGCTGCCACAAAATGTTTGTGGAGCCATGGTTTCAGCCGCACTTGCGCATATTTGTGACACTCGGCTCTGTTAGTATGGAAGTGACGTAGTAGCAGAGCAGCAATAATTTTTTCACCTAAGTCTCCTGGACCTGTGGAGCCAAAATTATAGATTTCGTGGAACTGCCTGGAATGTTGGGAGTTGGGCTTTTTTTAGTGTCTGAAGTTGTGTTTCAAGTCTGATTTCCTATTTAAAAAGCCCACAGCAGGTAGGATGTTGCAGCCACATATGTTAGTGATGTGCTGTTGTCTGCATTGTGGACAATAACCTAGCCTCCTGAGAGCCAGTCAGAAGAGACGTTTGCTTGGCCGGGAGAAAGTAAACATTGCGACAGCTGCTGGGGAGACAGGAAATGAAAGTAGAAACTTGTCTTGGTTTCATTTTCTGTTCTTGCATTTGAACCAGTCATCTCCACCTAAATGTTTGCCTATATATTACTGTCATCTGTAATAGCTGGAAAAATGTGCCTTGTTTTCAGGCAAGGTTTGCTAGGTTTTGATGCAGCTGTTTCATCGTGATGTTTTTGATTGACTTGTCATCTATAAAGAAGATAGTGTCTTAGGAGACTTAGGTTTTAGCATAATATTTACTGTACTAAAAACTATAGCTTCTTGCTTCTGTGCAAAAGAAGGCTAATATTCAGTGACTTAGCTGAGAAATTTATATCTGTGCCAGCACACATTTTCTGCAACTACATGATATACCTAACTGCAGAGCTGAAAAATAGCTGCAATTTCAGAGCACCGTTAGTTTAGCGTGTCTCTAGCGTCAGAGGCCCAGAATTAGGGAACTACATTAAGCTGCCATATTTGCCACGTAAACTTATATACAAGTATAGCACCATAATAAAATTGGCAACAACTGTTCGTAGAGCTGTTTGCTGGTGTTGCAAGACTAACATTTGACAGATCAATTACGTATGTATTCCTGCTAGATAAGGCTCTGTTGCGTGTTACATACGGATTTAAGTAACTTTGGAAGACTTACTATCTGGCATCTTCACTGGAATTAAACACTCTTAAATATGTTCACACACAAACTGTTTAATTTGTGCTTTTTAGTATCCCACCCTTGTTTGCTTTATTTTCAGATAATGCTTATGATCCAGATGTGAGCGCTAAGCAGATATGGATAGACAAAACGGTGATAAACGACAATATATGCTTGACATTCACTGACAATGGAAATGGTATGAACTCAGAGAAGCTGCACAAAATGCTAAGGTGGATAACCTCTTTTGCAATTTTTTTTCTTGAAAAAATTCTAGCTTCTAGTTCTGTTATTGCTCAGCTTATTCATTTTTCTCATACGTACTCGACTAATTTTGTTAAACTTAACATTTCTGAAGGTGAGCAATATCCAAGTGAGACTATGGAACAGAAAGATGCTAGTAACTTTCACACAACTTTTTCAATGAGTTTTTATCTCAAAATTTCCTCTTATCCTTTCTGTCAACCTTCCCATTTAAATTTCTTTGCAGTGTTTGTGCTGTGTAAACTCTCAGTAGTGCCATTTGGTGGACCTAAGGAGAACTTAATTTTCTTTTTTTTTTAAATTGAAGATTACTTTAGTTGAAGTTAGCAAGCAAGAGAAAAAGGGAGATTGGGTTCAAACCCCTTGAAGTATTGAAAATAGAAGGTATGGTGGAAAACTGAAGGGAATGATTATTCTGTTCACGTGGCTTGTTTAATTATCCTGTAGGGTTTGAACTGATCTTTCTTCAAGTTTTGTTTCTACAGCTAGCAAAGAAGTTGCTGTTCAGTTGCTCTTTTAGTATGAAAGATTCCTCTGCCTGCAGATAAATCTCCAGGTTTGAACTTGAGCAACCTTGAATTCAAACTGTTATTTTTCTTTTTCTGTTAGATACCATACTTAATAGCTTGCTTGCTAAATTCCATGTTAGGTATGCAGTTACCTGTCTTGCTTTAAATGTAATGTGTAGTTACTAATGGAAAATTTTGTAGATCACACATTTTCAAGCAGAGGGTGTGGGGGGAAGCTTTAGGGGCTTTTCTTAGTATTTATTGGGAAGCCACAGGATAACTGTTAAAATCCTGTAAGAATGCTGGCTGTGTAATTCTAGACATGGTATTTCTTGTCCATACTTAATGATCAAAAGTAAGTTTTTGCTTAATTCTTGCAGTGTGTTTTTAGAAATGTTACACAGGTAACTTTCAGGATTTGCTTAACTGTACATTGTTTAATTGTACAGTAGTTCCTGATCTCTAAAACAAGAGATTAACTCACTGTATTTAATTTGACAAGTCTTGCTTGCATCTTTTTGGGTTTTCAAGTTTTATAGGGCTTTTTACACTCTTCTAATGTTTTCATATGTTTCAGCTTCGGTTTCAGTGAGAAATCCGTGATGAATGGCCGTGTTCCAGTGGGGCTGTATGGAAATGGGTTTAAATCGGGGTCCATGCGCCTGGGAAAAGATGCGATAGTCTTCACCAAGAATGGAGAAACCATGAGTGTGGGCCTGTTATCTCAGACTTTCCTTGAAGTCACAAAAGCAGAACATGTCATGGTTCCTATAGTGACATTCAACAACCACCATATCCTTTCAGCGATTTCTGAATGAGAAGATGTGTGTACATGTAAAATCTGGATGATAATTTCAGTAAAGGGAATCCCGTTGTCTAGTCTTATGGATACCCTAAATAAATTCTAAGATGCAAGGAAGGCTCTAATTTGTTAGAGCCTTTAAATTCAGAGGAGCTCTGAGATGTGGAGTGAAAACCTGTGAAGTAAGTACAGGATATACTATTGTAGAAGTTCCCTCATCTTCTGAAGGCTTACTTCATTCAAAGTTACTCCGCTTAACGTAATGCTTACGACAGATAAGTGATCTAACAGAATCCAAAAACAACCTGAAGGCCATCTTAACACATTCTTTATTTTCTACGGAGGAGAAATTACTGGCAGAGCTAGAGGCTATAATGGGGAAAAAAGGAACAAGAATTATCATTTGGAACCTGAGAAGGTAAGATGAAGTCCAGTCTCTTATGTATGTCATTTAGTTGATGTTATCTTTCAGTGTATGTAAACATAGAAGGTTTTTTGTAGAATAATTCCGAAAGGCTGTGGGCAGTTAGCTGTAACTGAGGAAACTAGACTCAAACTCACGTGATTGAAGGGCTATAATGTTGCATGAGAGCTGTTGCTAATCTCAAGTAACAAAGCAGAAGGAAGCAGAATGTAAAGGACTTCATATTTTCCTTTGATAAGATACTGTTGCTTTTGCCAGAAGAAAAATTGAAATAGATAAGCTAAAAATCTGTTGTTTCAGACTTATAAAATTATGAATGCAAAAATTCAAACAAAAATATTTGTACGTATAGGCAAGTATTACTGGCTTTGTAAGTTTGGAGTCAGCAGTATCCTTAGAGGGATCTAGATATTTCTAAACTTCTTAACTGTTTATCATAAAATAAATAGAAATCCAAGTAAATAAATAGTTGTGTGTATTTATCTTGTTTATCTACTTGCCTCTGTGGGTTTGTTCACAGCAGTATAGATTTCCAGCCTTCTCTAGCTTTGACTTGTTGCTTTTTTTTTAAACAGCTGTTGCTGTAGCAGTGGCAGATGAGTGTCATCCCTTCCTATCTACTTTCCCTTTCCTTCACATTTTTGCTGCTGCCTTAATAGCAGGGAACCTGTCTGATGGTCTGTCCAGAAAATCTTTAGCGTGACTTTAACTGTGATCTCTCTAGTTGGTTGGGAAGATGCTGTCTTGTACTGTTCTTAAGTGTTTAGCTTACTGTAGTTTTTAATACCTGAAATAAGGAGGTGTCCATAGGAAGCAATTTCAAACTGTTCCACAGTCCTGTGGATTTGGCAAGAAACTAGGTTGGTCTTCGGTTTCTTAACTTCATTGTTGCCCATCAGAAGAAGGGTGGAGGGGAGGGAAGTGAAAACCACACCTGGATGAGTATAGATTGAAAGATCTCAGTCAGTTATAGCAGGTGAAAAGTTTGCGATTTTCTTATTTCATTAATTTCTTGCAAGTATTAGAGCCCTGAATCACTTTTAGCTTAGACTTTAACACAAGAAAACGGGAGGTAGGAAATGTGTTACTAATTCTGTTTCCCCTTGCCACCTGCTCCGTAAGAAAAACTTTACCTCCTTTACACTTTTGGAACTGATTTACATTGCTCAGGTAGACTCTAACTTATTTTTAGATATGAACATTTTTGGGAGTGTCCATCACTTCATTGCTTGAGTAAAAGAAAATACAGTCAGCTCGGCTGGCTGGGCAGGGTAGCTTTCATGTTGTTCTGAATTTTGGAGTTTCATGGGAAGTGGTGGGAAAGAACACTTTGGAGGGGTTCATGTTGTTTCTAATATGTTGTATAATCTGGAATATTTGTGCCAACTATGATATATCTCAGTGTTTTGCAAAGGTACTGCAGTATATACATTTGAAACTCGGTATGGTGTATACATCTGGTGAGTGGTACAGTAAGAAATTGTGATAATTACGGGGTTGGAAAATGGTGTCGAGTACCATTTTTTCAGCATTCAAAGTCTTAGGAAGGCAATTTGCAGTGTTCAGAGATTTTCACATTTGGAAGAAATGCGTGTGTCTCGGTCCATCCAGAATTTAAAGCTGGTATTGACTGATTTTATTTTTGAAGAGTGACCTGTTTAGAATTAAGTTAGAATTCATGAATGTCTCGCAATCACTTCTGTTATATTCCTTGGATATCAGAATGGAACTGGTGAACTTCATATCTGTGAGGAAAACCACTATGGCTCAAAGGAATTACCTTTCTTGTGCATCTTTGTACTACCCACTGGGTCAACTACAATATCTTATTTTGTGTTGCCTTTTTCCATAATTAGTGTATTTTTTAATCTTATTTTTTAGAGATAAAAATGAAAAAACAGAATTTGACTTTGACAAGGATAAATATGACATCAGAATTCCAGAAGACTTGGATGAAACAGGCAAAAGAGGATATAAGAAACAAGAGAGACTGGACCAGATTGTTCCAGAAAGTGACTACTCACTGCGAGTATGTATAACATTTTTTTAAATTTATTTCTTTGTTTATTTTTGGAAGCTGGAGGCTGTAAGTTTTTGTTTTAATATAGTGTACTATACTACAGAAGTGTTGATTGCAAGGGAAGATGAATGTCAGAATTTAAGTGTTAGGGCAGTATGTCAATATTAATTTTGAAAATTGAAGGTGTAATGTATTTGTGAACTTGTGTAAATGTTTGCTGTTTATTTAGAAGAAAATAACTGGGTTTTATGTAGTCTTGCAAGTAATTTCTGCTGTTAAATGTAGCCATCACTATGGAGGAAGAAGGAAATGCTATCAGTAGCTTCAGAAACTTAAATAGGTGTATATGTGGTTGTCGGCAGAGTAAACATTCCATTTTAGTGCACATATACAGTACTGATGTTATGCCCATGTGGATCTTCTAAAACAGATAGGATTCGGTTGGCAAAGTGTCATTTCTATGTTTCAAAAAGAGGTAAAGGAATTGAGAAGCAGCTCCATTGTTTGAATACATGCACACAGAAAAGCCTTGGTCGTGTCTGCAGGCTGATTGATACAACCATTGTCTCCACTACTGATTCATAAGCTTTGAAGCCTTCTTTTTGTAAGAAAGTGCATGGAATTACTAGGTATTCTGGGCAATTCTTGTGGATTATATTCAGAAGTATTATTCCATTGAACTAAAACCTTCGATTATTCTAAGACTTGGCAAAGTGCTAAATTCACTTCAATTATTAGGAGTTGTGATTACAATGGTAAATGAAATGCAAGTTAAAATTCATAATAGACACATTTATGAGAAGATTGCATAGCTGTTATCAAGCTATGATAACATGCAGGCATTTGGAACACACTTGCTTTTGTTTGTTTTAAAGTTTGTCATAAAATTTTTAAGCTCTTAATGGGGGTAAGAAAAGAGAGGCTTGTGTGTGTGTTGGAGAGCTCTTTTAGTGGTAAAACTGCATCTTCAGATGCCTGATTAACTTGTCATATTCAAAAAACTTGTCCTTCAATTGCTGTTCATTTAATTTGTGATATATGTATGCTTATGCACACTTGCATTTCCTGTTTTTGTGGATTCAAGTTGGGACAAAACACATTTCATAAAATTTTAATTAAAACTTGAGTTTGTGTTCCTAAATGAATATTGCAAAATGTTCATATCTCGAGTTTTGGGGTGGTTTTTAATAGCAGGACGTATTGTATGTTTTGTAGGCTTATTGCAGTATTTTGTATCTGAAGCCAACAATGCAGATCATTCTGAGAGGACAAAAAGTGAAAACACAGCTGGTTTCCAAAAGCCTTGCCTTCATTGAACGTGATATATATAGGCCGAAATTTTTGAATGTATCCTTTGCTAATATTTACATCAACGCATGCTGAATTTAATGATGTGACATTGTGTGCTGTCTAGATTCTGCTGGGTATGTGCAGTTATTATCATTATTTTTATTTTTATTATTTTTTTGGTAAAAATATACTGAAGGAATTATCTTGATATTAAAAAAAAGTCCCAGGACCCAGTTTAGAACGAGCACTCAGAGTAACTATAAATCTTCTGTTACATGAGATTAACCAGATTTTTCCTTAATCTGAAAAAAGGCTAGAACAGTAAGAATTACATTTGGATTTAACTGCAGAAACAAAGATCATTATGGAATAATGATGTACCATAAAAACAGACTCATCAAAGCTTATGAAAGAGTTGGCTGTCAGTTAAAGGTAAGAAATTAAATCTCACAAATATTTTAACATCTTTAGAAATCACTTCATTCAAATACTGATTTTAAAAAAGAATACAGATGGAAACTATGATATTGAGGTGTCTTATAAAACCAATTTTTTCACTTTGTACAGCAGTTAAAATTTGTATTGTTATATGCAGCTATTTTAATATTTGTTTTTGAAACTAAGCTTGACATACAAAATAAGGGCCTGAGCATATATTTTAGGACAAAAAGAGGGATAGAACAGAGAGGTTTTTTATTTACAGAATCACAGAATGGTATGGGTTGGGTGGGACCTCTGGAGATCATCTAGTTCAACCTCCCCTGCTGAAGCTGGTTCACCTAGAGCAGGTTGCACAGGACCATGTCCAGGCAGGTTTTGAATATCCTCAGAGAAGGAGACTCCACAGCTCCTCTGGGCAGCCTGTTCCAGTGCTCTGTCACCCTCAAGAAGTTCTTCCTCATGTTCAGATGAGCTTTTTATGCTTCAGTTTGTGCCCGTTGCCCCTTATCCTGTCGATGGGCACCACTAAAAAAGTCTGGCCCCATCCTCTTGATGCCTACCCATAAGATCACAGAATCACAGAATAGTAGGGTTTGGAAGGGACCTCTGTGGGTCATCTAGTCCAACACCCCTGCCGAAGCAGGGTCACCTAGAGCAGGCTTTTTTTTTTTGCCCCTTGTCCTGTCACTGGGCACCACTGAAAAGAGCTTGGCCCCATCCTTCTGACACCCACCCTTCAGATATTTATAAGCATTTATTAAGTCCCCTCACAGCCTTCTCTTCTTCAGGCTGAACAAGCCCAGTTCCCTCAGCCTCTCCTCGTAGGAGAGATGTTCCAGTCCCCTCATCATCCTTGTAGCCCTCCGCTGGACTCTCTCCAGTAGCTCCTCATCTTTCTTAAGCTGGGGAGTCCGGATCTGGATGCAGTACTCCAGGTGGGAAGTTACTAGGGCAGAGTAGAAGGAGAGGAGAACCTCCCTCAACCTGCTGCCCGCACTCTTCTTAATGCACCCCAGGACACCATTGGCCTTCTTGGCAACCAGGGCACACTGCTGGCTTGTGGTCAGCTTGTCCACCAGCACCCCCAGGTCCCTCTCCACAGAGCTGCTCTCCAGCAGGTCAGCCCCAAGCCTGTACTGGTGCATGGGGTTGTTCCTCCCCAGGTGCAGGACCCTGCACTTGCCCTTGTTGAACCTCATCAGGTTCCTCTGAGCCCAACTCTCCAGCCTGTCTGGGTCTTGCTGAATGGCAGCACAGCCTTAGTGTTTTAGCCACTACTCCCAGTTTTGTGTTCTCAGCAGACTTGCTGAGGGTACACTTTGTCCCTTCATCCAGGTCATTGATGAATACATTGGACAAGACTGGTCCCAGTACTGGCCCCTGAGGAACCCCACTAGTTACAGGCCTCCAGTTGGACTCTGCACCACTGATCACAGCCCTCTGGGCTCTGCCATTCACCAGTTCTCAGTCCACCTCATTGTCCACTCATCTAGCCCACACTTCCTGAGCCTCCCTATGAGGATGTTTTGGGAAACAGAGTCAAATGCCTTGCTGAAGTCAAGGTAGACAGCATCCACTGCTCTCCCCTCATCTACCCAGCTGGTCATGCCATCATAGAAGCCTGTCAGATTAGTCAAGCATGATTTTTCCTTGGTGAATCCAGGTTGACTACTTCTGATAACCTTTTCCTCCACTTACTTGCACATGATGTCCAGAATGAGCTGCTCCATCACCTTTCCAGGGACAGAGATGAGGCTGACCAGCCTGTAGTTCGCTGGGTCCTCCTTGCCCTTTTTGAAGACTGGAGTGACGTTGGCTTTCCTCAAGTCCTCGTGCACTTCTCCTGCTCTCCTTGACCTTCCATACAGGGAATTTCTGTTCAGAGTTTATTTTTGGAGGGGAGCTGTAAGCCAGAAAATTGTTTTTACCTAGTGTATATATGGCTTATAATTACCTCTGACAAACTCTTGCAGTCTTAGCATAGAGTATATGGGTGTTTTTCCTGATAGATCTTGATTTCTTACAGGCAAACAACATGGGTGTTGGTGTAGTTGGGATTATTGAATGCAACTTCCTAAAACCAACTCATAACAAACAAGATTTTGACTACACAAATGAATACAGGTAAATGTATATTCTTAAGTAGACTTTCTATTTAATAGTGTCGTTCACTGTGAAATACTTGATGATAAAGTCTCCTAAGTAGTAAGAATAAAAGCTTATGTTCCATCATTAAACTGCATGGTTGTTCTGAACAGTAGGGGTAGGATGTTTACATCTACACTGGTCATATTGCATCCATTGTGCAATTGTACACACTACTAGGTCTAGGGTATCATACACATTGTTTTAAAGCAAGTGCCCTGAAAGCAGTTGGTTGCAATGCTGCCCCTCACTGGTTGAGCACAGAATAACTTGCTGAGATGAGGATACTTGTGTGGCAGATGACTAAAATGGTGGTACATAAATCCCACACTCTTAACTTGTCTCGTAACAGTTTCTGTTTAGTCTTTTTCTCTGGAAGAGCCTGGTTGGATATGTGTGCTGCTTTGTATTAAGGTGTGTTAGGAGCAGCCACCTCCTCCAGCAGCTCTGTGCCAGGACTCACTCCTGCCCAGCCACTGGAGTCCAGTCTGGGGACCCAGGGTTTCTGCCCAGGCTGAGGGACATGGCTGCTGCTTTCCCATTTGCAGGTTCAACTGGTAGCAAAGCTGAGCACGTGTCCCAGAGACACACACACACAGAGGACACTGTGGCTGGTTACACAGACTGCCCCAAACAAGGTGCACCTACATACAGGACTTGCATAAAACATAAACAGCCAAGCCCTCTTCCTCAGCTTTAACTGGTAGAGAGAGAAGCTCACTAGTGAAGGCACACACATGACACTCTAGATTCCCAAGCACATGTACATTTGCAGATCCCCTGAGTACTGGCATGGCCCCTCTGTTCTCCTGGTACTGCTGCCTGGGTCCCAGGCCCTGTACCATGCTTCAGCGGTCCCCTACATGAGGGCTAGTGAGGTTTGATTGCTAGCAAACACGTGCACACTCACACTCATCTCACAGCCACTCCCTATTTGCAAGTCTCCCTGGGTATACCAGCACAAACCCTTGCCTGTCTGATAGCCCTGTCTGGGCCCGTGACTTCCTACTCACCAACAAGTCCAGCTTGGACTTTGCCAGCAAATACACACGCACACCCCATGCCCCCCAGGCCTGGGGAAGATGCAGACACGCTCCGCCCCTCCACCAGCAGCCAGCACCAGGTGTGTGGACTATGACCCACAGTCCTGCTCCAGCTACCAGCGCTGAGCTCCTCACTCATGCTGGTCCACCCCAGGAGCTGGTTTTTGGGGGTACACTGTTCCTGCCTCATTGGTGGCAGCTGAGACCTGTGCTCGCTCCAGTAGCTGACACCACACACCTGGTCTGACTCCAGGAGCTGGCACCAAATCCACTCACACAGAGCCCTCACCGCTAGCTGGCACTTAGTCCTTGCCATATACGTACATACGGGATAGCGAATGAGATTATGCAGAGAGATAGTTAAGAAAATATTAAATAAGAAGATAGGACACACTGTGGTGACCAGGCACAGGGCTCAGCCAGACAACTGTACTGACCTGCCCCATTTTACATGCAGCCCCCTTTTCAGTCTGTGTGTGTCTCTGTTCCTCCCTGCTCCCCCTTTTCCATGCTTACTGCCTCATTGGTTGGCATGGTTCCACTGACCCCCTCCAGACACCCTGGACCCTCAGGTTTCCATCCTTATCAGTTGCAAAATCCCAGTTTGCTTGCAGTTTCTTGATAGCCTGTCAATTAGTGTGACTGACCAGATTTCTTTCTGGTTATCATCTTTGTTAACGCTGAATGGTCAGGTCTTACAACTCTCTGTGTTTGTCTCCTTCCCTTGTCCTTCCAGCTGAAAAAATAAACATTCTTACACTCCATGTATGCTTACCAGTTGGTGTGGCTGACCAGGTTTGTTCTTATCACTACATCCCTTGTCAGTCAGGTTTGTCTCCCTGTGTTCTTGTTTGTGGCTCCTTTGACCGTATGCCCTTAAAGGACCAGGCACTTTCCTTCTGTGTGCCCTAACACTTGCTTTCAGCATGGACTTAGAAATTTAGGGTAATGACTTGCAAACGTACATGGGGTGAACTTTGGCAGGAGTCATTACATTTTTTCAAGCTGCATGTTTTGCTCTTCAGCCGGTTGTGGTTCAGTTTCCATTGGCAGCCTGAACTGTCCATAATGCCTTTCCTGAATTGCTAATCTACATGCAGCTCTGCATGTAAACATAACCCCTAAACCACACCAGAGTGCTGTAATAAACAGAGCTGTTAATTG